ATTATTATTATTATTACACATGTTCTTTATCAGTAGCAGGACCCTTGTTAATAAAAAATTTAATGACTGAAATAGTCTTCCTATCAATATCTTTTTGTCTCAGTCTCACTGTTTTGATACTCAGTCTAAATTCCTGTTTAATTCGTTCTTTTGCTTTTTGAGCTTCTTTTTTTGTTGCTGTTGTTGTTGTTGTTGCTGTTGTTGTTGTTATTGTTGTTGCTTTTTTAAATTTTTTTTTTATGGAACGGAACTAAATCGATTAAAACTGTAATATTTGTTTTGACATAAAACTGTAAAAACCAACAATAAAATCCGACGTTTCGGAGTAGTCATGACTCCATTATCAAGGAAAATATAAAAAAAGATCACGCAAATTGCAACATATAAAGAGTTTTTGGCCCAAAGAATTAACATAAGAGGGTGCGAAGCTAGATTCAAACACTAGAGGTTCTTGATTAATAAACCGATCCCACAACATTACTCAAGGAGATATCTTTTAAATAGGCAGGGGTCTTTCCATGATAAATTAAATGCATTGAGAGCTTTTTGTTTGTTACTTCTATCCTTGAGTTTGCACCAGCCATATTTACCCACTGCATGTAATTCCTTTATGGGCAATCGATTGTCAGCACTTGTTATTACACGCGTAACTCAATATCGGTGTAACGTTTGAAGTTTGGCACTACTGCTATTGGCATCCTACGTCAGAAACCGTCGTTAAATTTTGTACATAGACATTTGCTATTACTTAATTTTCTCAAGAAGATTCCATTTATGGACAGACCAAGTATTTGCACAAGAGTCACTATTCTTGGCCTTGATCCCACTAGCATAGTAATCTATTCTGTCTTTAAAACATTCAAGGTGCGCCTGTTTGCTATCAGCCTATTTGTAGATAATGGGAATCCTTATTTGTATCATGTTACAGCTCAGGAATCATTATGCTGTAAGCATTGAAAGCAATATAAATGTAATCTGCATTCATTCTTGTGGTAGCATGATAAGGTCTGTTGGTAAGATTGTTAATTAACATGTATGCAAGTATCGAGCCCTCAATAGATTTCCACAACTCAGAGCTGATTTCTCGGAGAGTGCTCCGTTTACATAAACCATTTAAGGCATGACCACGAACTCCAATTTACTCTAATTTAGTACCCAGAAGTTG